TATATATATTTCATATGTGTATGTGTGTGTGTGTGTGTGTGTGTGTATCCATGAAAACACAATGTTTACTGAGGCAGTTAAGACTACTAGTCAAATATTAGCCTTAAGCAACTTTGTTGTTAAATCTTTTGGATACTTTTTTTTTTTGCCTGCTATCTCCAGGCAAGTTACAGACATCAAATTCCAATGTAGTTCTGGCACACTACTGGAATCCAAGATACTCAGAAGCTAAGGCAGAAAGATCGTAAGTTCAAAGCTAGCCTGATGAGGCCTTGTCTCATAATAAGGGATGGGGATGTAGCTCAGTGACAAAGTGCTTGCCTAGCATGTGCAAGGCCCTGGGTTCAATTCTAGTATTACAAAAAAAAAAGAAGTAATACATACAAAATTATATTTTTAGGTCTAGAGAAAGTTTCTCATATTGGTAATAGTAAAAGGCCTGCCAATTTAAAAATATATTCTTATATTTAGTGAGGGTGCTTACTTCTTATAAACCCTCCTTTGGAGAACATGTTCAGCAGGAGAGATGAAGAGATGTATCCACAGGGAAGAGGGTTAAGGCTGGGGATCCTGCTCAGAAAGGAGTCCCAGGTATCCTTGTGCTAGAACTTCAGAATGACGAGCTTGGTCTACTTTCTGTTACAATGCTTATCAAAGAGCAGTAGCAGTGCAGCCTCCATAGCCCTGATCTTGTACAACCTTTAATCTTGGCCTAGTGCTGCTCACTGAGGCCTCACTGACTGTAATACAGTAGTGACTGACATTCATATAATCACCTGGGCACTTCATGCCCTGCTGCTGTCATTTTCTTTGTCCCTCTTAGTTTTTGCAAAATATTAGCAGAGTTCCTCCCTGACTTCAACATTGCTCAGGTTGAGTTCCACCCCTCCCTTTGACTTGGTTCCCAACTCCCTTCTCTTTGAATCAAGAGTAGTCTTTTCTTGAGGCTGCTGGATCCTACTGCTGCCATGTAGATGCTGCCCAGACCTTGAGCAACATATATGTAACCTCACTGGGAGTCCTGGGAGGCTAGGTAATAGTCAAAGGACTGATGCTATCTATCTCCTTTATAAAAGCTTTAGGAGGGCCAAGGATTTAGCTCGGTGCTTCTGATACCTGCCTTGAAAGCGGAAAGTCCCAAATTCGATACCCCGTACCAAAAAAAAAAAAAAAAAAAAAAAAACAGCTTTAGGAAAGATATGATTTAGCTCAGTGGCACTGCCATCTGCCTTGCGAGTACAAGGTCCTGAGTTTAACCCCTGATACAAAAAAAAACAAAAAGCTTCAGGAAAGATATGAGATATGCATGAAGGAAGTACCACGGGAAAGTGAGGTAATGTTCAATGGCCTTCCCGTTTTTCTGGTGTTTTCACACCTAAGCCATGGCTGGACAATGTTGCCTGTATCTTACATATACAAGAAGAGAACACCAAGACTTAGTAGCTTTTTTTTTGTACCAGGGATCAAACTCGGGTCCTTGTGAGGCAGGCAGTGGAACCACTGAACTAAATCCCCGGCCCTGTGGACTCAGTAGCTCTTGATGTTGATGCCTGTGCTGCTATCTCTGATTGTCTAAGTGCAAATGGGCACTGAGAATCCTGGGCTTGTGTGCATTTTGCAGATCCTGGGCTGTGGGCAAGCAGGTGTTTATTTTTCAGTGGAAAGACAGATATTAAGTGGGGTAAAGCTTCTGGACATGGACTCTGAATACAAATGTTTTTCTCTCTGCTTTTATTTCCAAGGAAATTCATATGGCCCTTCTCTAGCAATCTTATAAAATACATTCTTTTGTATCTGAATCTAAACTTTACTTTTCCTCTGGTCCAATTTACAAATTTTTTCATTCTTAATCCCATTAAATAGGCATTACTCGACGAAAGCAAAGACAAGTAATATATAAAGGAATCAATGAATGAATGCATAAAGACCACAAAAACTCTGACACAAAAGAGCAAACAGTTGAGTACGGTGGCACACATCTGTAGTCGCAATTACTTGGAAGGCTGAGGCAAAAGGCTCCTGAGTTCAATGCCAGCCTGGGCAACACAGCTAGACCCAATCTCAAAACAAACAAACAAACAAGAGCAAACATAAATGTATTAACCAGTATCCTTCAACACAAAACATCTAACGAGTATACGCATGTAAAAACAGACAGTACATGTGATAACTAAACGTAGGGTTTGAATGGATTTCTATTCCTAAATGTATTAATACATTCAGGTTTACCAAGAGGCAAATAATATTGGTCCATTTCATTTGTATCACTGTTTTAATTCAGCAATTCTTTTTTTTTTTTTTTTTTTTTTTTTTTTGAGACAGGGTCTCACTATGTAGTTGAGACTGACCTGGAACTCACTATGCAGCCCAGGCTGGTCTCGAGCTCACAGTGATCCTCCTGCCTCAGCCTCCTGAGTGCTGGGATTATAGGTGTGAACCACCACGCCCAGCTAATTCAGCAATTCTTAAAAGTATAATCCAGGGTAATATCATTAAGTAGCTCTGATAGAGCACGGTCCCTACTATGTATCATAAAGCAGGTACTAGATATTTTACATTCATAGAGGTGTGATACAGTACTGTCCTACATCAATAATACTAGATTCAGTTTTGGTTTGAAATTTACTTTGTCTGCAAATAAGATTGCTACCCCTGTTTTTTTCTGGGCTCCTGTCACATGGAGAATTGTTTTCTATCTTTTCACTTTCAGTCTATGGGCTTCTTTTTGCACTAGGTGTGTTTCTTGTATACAACATATCATTGGATTTTGCTTCTTATTCCATTTTGCCAGTCTATTTCTCTTGATTGGTGAGTTGAGGCCATTGACTTTGCTGGTTATAACTGATATGTACCGACTTATTATTGACATGTTATTGGCCTTTTGTTGACTCTTTTACTTTTTCACCTTCTCCTTTTAATTTCTTGCCTTGCCTATTTGTGTTCTCTTTCCAGATGATAATTAAGAGGCTACTAGAAAAAATGGTGCCAGGTACCACAACAGCAACAGAACTTTGCTGTTGTCTGGATATTA